CTCATTTTCCCAGCAAAAGCACAAGTTGTATTTACATTACAATTGGTATCTTTATAATTAGATATGTCAAGTAATTTCAAAACCATTTCATAGGAATTCAAGAGGTAAAAAATTTAGCACTTTCCCATTTAACACTTTCTTTATTTATACATCCCAAAATAGATTTTTTGGTTCCCCTTCTGTAAAAATTAATGAATGAAATTCACTTTAATTTCCTGAACATGCTTTATCAATACACATGCTTTTCAAGAACGTTTATTTAGAGCTGGAGGAGTAGATCTATACACTTCTCAAAAATATTCAAAATGGAAAATAAATAACAAATCTCCAGATTTTTGAATACCTTTTATTAGTCTTTTATTTTGTAGATCTTTTCATATTATTTTTTAGATTCCATACCAATATTCAAACAAATAAAAACCACTGAAAATAATTTTAATAAAACCTCATAAACAACAACAGACAATTCAAATGAGAAATAAGAGGTGTAAAACTGAAAAAAAAATGTATTTTTAGAAATAAATGCAAAAGAAAGATAATTCAAGATAGGGACTAAAATACCATGAATTCATTTTACAAGAATCACAATGCACAGTGGGTAAAAAGAGCAAAAAAACAAGAACAAAACAAACCAACTTTTTTTCAGAATCAAAAGGCTAAAAAATAAAAAAAAAAAGAAAGAAAAGGAGAAAAGGTGTAGAGCTCCCTTCAATCCAAACAAGGAATAAAACAGTGGGAAATGAAGCTCCTAACATATGCAAACCACAAGCCTATCCAATAACACATACATGGGATCAAAAAGCCAGTGGATAGGGCTGAGGTATCCATAGGAAAGCAGCTCAATAATCCCAGTTATACCCCTCTATGTGGATGAAAGGAAGCTCCACTCTCAAAACCCTAATCTCACTCAATTCCTAAACAAAATAAAAGCACAAATTAACAAGAAGAAAGAGATTTCTTGAATATACAGTTGGGAACAAGGGGAAAACCCTAGTTTGGAGGGGGGAAAGGGCATTTTGGGGATTTGGGTATCAGTTTGAGGAGTGGATGGGGAATTGAGATGAGAGGGTATAGTAGATTTATATAGGAGGAGATGGGGTTACCATTTTCCAATATTTTAACTGTTGGTACAATGCATTGTAGGCCTATATAACTACTAGGCAGGCATGGGGGGGGGGGGGCACTCTGCAAT